AAGGAGGGCCAGCCAGGGATGCTAACAACCATGCAAAGGCAAGAGCTGCTTTCATCGCTACAACACCAATTAATTGAAAGAGGAGATGAATCGAGTTGTGAGGGAAAGGGGGCGATAGCTACAGCGTTGAGGTCCTGCACTAGCACTGGCCTGTGGAGCTGTAGCTCTGTGGGAGAGCAGCAGGTCCCCGATGCTACACCCAAGTACACACACTCCAAGCAGAGCTTATTGGGTTGAGTACCATGCAACGTCAACACCGTTGTACCGCTACCAACCCAAGCTGCACTGAGAGCCTGATGGAAGGCCCTTGTATCAAGTGCTCCGATACTTCCAAGTGTGGGTTTAACCAATGTGCTTATCTCCTGTGTTAATGATAGTGCAAACATACCCAGTGAGACTGGCCTTTTCCTCTAATTCAGGTTGATTTACCTTTCTCCCTGGAGAACCGTGGGGAAAAAAGCCCTGCCTGTGATTCAGTGGTGAGGAGAGCACAGAAATGGTAGACGTGTGGTAGATGTGGGTGCGTCTCCATCTGGGCATCCATCTCCTGTTCTACCAGGAGCTGGAAATCAGTCAAATCACTGTTTTTTTCCCCCTATCTCTCCTCTTTTTTTTTGGTTTTTTTTTTTGGTTTTTTTTTTTTGTTTTTCTTTCCTGGCAGTTTCTTGTTTGAGCCCGCCCCTCATCCCCAGATGCGTGTTGAGCAGCAGATGAAGGGGACGCGGCGCAATTCCTCGCACTCCGGAGATGAAGCAATAACAGGTGGCAAGACCGGAGGCGGCCCGAGGCCGGCACTCGCGTTGCCATGGAAACGGGCCGGCCTGCTGCGGGATGAGCCCGGAGGGAAGGCGAGCCAGCCGTACATGGGGGCACTCGGCCTGTAGGTTGGGATTAGGTGTCAGCAAGTCCTCCCGGGGACCTGACGAATGCGGGCAGAGGCTCTTGGCTGGCTTTGAACTGTGCTGGCAGCTAAATGGCGGCCTTGTGTTTGAACGCTGAGGAAAAGGGAGGCGTCGGAAGGAGAAACTGGGCCCTGGGCTGTTTTTATCAGAAAGCAAATCCACCCCTTTTCTCCATTAACTTGATTCAGGCTTGTGCTGAGGTTCCTGTGGTCTCTGTTGTGCTCTGGAAATTCTTGTTGCTTTCTGACTAAATGACCTGATTCAAAGCGTTTTGAATTGAATTGAAAACTGCCAATGGACATTTATTGGTTTTGGCTCAAGCCCAAGAGTAATAGGTGAGAGCTGGACAAAACATGCTAGAAAATATCCCTCTTTTGGATGGCATATACATCTGATTATAGGCAATTCACTCTCTTCACCTAAATAAACAATGCACAGCCCCTACCTCAGTATTGAGGTACTTGCTCTGGTCCTTGTTCTCCACTGCTTTTCCACTTATGTGGACATGACGTAAGATAGGGGTTAATTGCTACCAGATCTAGATTCTCCACTTGAACCACGACCAATTTTTATGCTGTAGTCAAGTATGAGTTTCTTCACGGGTTAAGGAAATATATATGATTATTATTTGGTATCAGGGAGCAGAGAATCCAGTTTCTCTTTTCAGTGCTGTTTTCAGCTCCAGACAGGTGTTTAAAAATCACAATCCAAATCATTAAAAGTAATAATTTAGTAAACAGGAAATGAAAAAAATGCAAGGTCCTATTCATTTGAGTTCTTGTATATTTTTAAGGATCATAGTTTGAAGTAAAACTTCAAATATTGAAAATATTTGTATTCTGAGTTTTCCTGTTGAAAAACAAGGACAAGAATTGCTTCTTCTGAACTAGTTTTCCAGCCAAGATATTCTCTTCATCCACAAAAGCTAGAAAAGTGAGATTCTTGCTGAGAGTCATGTGGCTCCAGGACAGGATGGAGAAAGAAACAATCGTAGTTTTGTGATGCTATTTGACTAGAAACGCCCTTTGCTTATTTGTTTATTTTATTACAATGAAACCATAAGGAAGGTAACTTTCAGGTTTTGGTCTGGTTTTAAGGAGACCCTTAAGCCATAAGCTATAAGCTGGTTTAAGGAGACCCTTTATTTTAACCTTTTGGTCAGGTTTTAAGAAGAGAAAAGAAACTAGAACTCTGTTTAGACCCTATGCCTTCAAAATCAGGAAGGCACAGAAGTTTTTTAACATCAGTTCAGTTTGTTTGATCTCTTAGGCCTTGTCTATATAGAGAAGTTGCTGTGCAGTGTAGTACAGAATAATAAAAAATGCAGTATTTGTTTTTTAGAAAGACTCATTTGAACACTTTTCTGCATTTTTAACAAGTCTTTATTTTATTTAGCTTAATCCAGTTAGAAATTCACCAATTAAGCTAAAGAAGAAAAAAGGTATTACAGACCAAGAGCACACCAAAGTATTTGAAAATGCTGATTTCATTTTGCATCTGATTTCTGTCTTCACGTGATTGAGCTTTCAGGCACAGAGGAACTGTTCACTAGCTTTTGCAGATCTTTCTGTGGATCCCCTTAATCCATTTGAGGAATCCATTTTGTGTTGGGGCAGATAAATGGATACCGAGCCTTTGATGAAATTAGCCTCACCAGGTTGAAAAAACAAGAGGCAATTTTCTAAATACCATCCCCTAAGAGCACACTTCAGTGCAAGCAATATAGACATCAAGGCTTTGAATCTGTTTTAACAGTTTCCAATTTAAGACGAAAATCAGAGGGGTTTTGACAGATCATGGCTGGTTGTCAAGGTTTGGCTTTAAAATGATTTCTGATTCTGGGTGAAAACTTCAAGAACAAAATCTTTGGTTATACCCACCTGATTGAAATGGTTGTGTTTGTTAGCACACCTTGATGAGCTAGTTCTCATTACTGAGCTGTCATGTGGCTTAAGCTAGCAGCTTCTACGTTGTGATTAACTTGTGTGAGAAGTGTATACATAGCCCCTTACTATGTCTCAGATGTAAAGCAGTGACACCTTAGCCGCTGGTAACTTAATTGCTTTCACTTATGTGTTCATTCTTATACTTCTTATGAGCATTTGCACTGATTAAAGGGTGGGAATAGGATTGGGCGTTGGATACATGATGCCCATCTCATGAATATCTTACTACCTTTGCTTTGTTTCTTAATTCCCTCATCATCTGTGAGCTACAGTAAAACAGAACTAAGTCTCCAAGCTCACACGCACACAATTCCTTTGAAAATAGGAACTCCACTTACTATCATCCAGAAATCTCTTTATTTCTCAAATCTTCTGTGATCTAGCCTAGGGCTTAATTCATTGTGCAGCACTGATGAGGAAATCAAGCTAGAGTCAAGATTGATTCTAGTTTTTGCACCTGTTACAACAGAAAAGTGTTGAAGAGAATAACATTGCCTGGACTAATTTATTTGGCTATGAAGATGTATTGTTGAACACATCATTGATGTACCTTCGGGGACATCTCTCTGTGAGGTCTATAGTTATGAATGACATATATATAAGTATATATAAATATTAATATATTTAAATATATAAATATATGAGCTTATATGCACTCATATTACAAATTAAATTGGAAGAAAAAGGGAAAAAAGAAAGAGGTGATCAAGAATAACTCTTCCCTTGCTAATAGTCTAGGAGAATCTTTTCAGTTTCATCACACCCCATTCATCCTACGCACTCTAGACTGACTGCTCAGCATATATATTTTTTCTAAATTCTCTATCCTATTTCTAGGACAACTTCCATGGAGTCTTAGACTCATAAGATGCTTTGCAAAATGAAGTCAGTGTTTGCAGAGTATTACATCAGTTAAAGCATCCTGAACAATGATAGAAACAAGGCCCTTTACTCGGCCCAGTGGCCAAATCTTGTTTATATTTGTGGCCTCACCACAGAATTCTTGTGTATTCCTGAGTGAGGCATTTAATCACTCTACCTCCAAGTTGTTTCCATTGTAAAAATGCAATGGTGCCTCCTCACCATGAAATTTAATAAGGATCCATTAGCAGTTTGGTGACCGTCAGTGGCAAAAGAGACTTTTGACTTCATTAAGCATTGGTATTAGGACCTTAGTACCTGCAATGTGCTTTGAGAAACTCAGATGAAAGGTGAAATTATGTAATAAAGAACAAGAAAAAAACCAAAAATCACTAAACACAGAGTTTGTATTGCACATATCTTGTCTGTAGATGCAGCACATTGTAAAGAGGTAATTAACTTTATCAGAAGAGGGGGTGAAGGGGGAAGAAGTAAATGACTGAGAGATCTGCTTTTTAGATGAAAATAAACGCACAGCCAGCAACTTTATGATCATTTTGTTAAAGCTCTTAAAATGAGTCAGTATGCTGGGTTTCCACCTGGTTCCTGTTCATTTTTTGCTTATTTTGTAGGCACATGTTACATATTTCTCCACTAGCAATCAAAATGCTAACCTAACCACTTCTCTCTAGCAGAAGTGAGGATATACTTTACTGGGACACTTTCCGAATAAAGATCATTGTTTAGTAAATATGCCAGGGACTGACGATAATGCAGGAAGAGAATGGTGTATTTGTATCATTATCGTTTTTAATTATTTCTTAATTCCACCTTCCCTACAATCTTCCAATTACCAGTTTCCCAAAAGTTCAACCAATCAACAACTGGAAGAAAATAAATAACCCAAAACAGAAAAAAAAATAGTTTAACTCTGAGGAAATTTTCATTTTAACGTTATGTCTTAGCCTGGTACCAGCAAGTCATTGTTCTCAGAGGGAACCTTGGATGCAGAAAAACTCTTTTTAAGGACATTAGTAAATCCTATTAAAATATCTGTTAAAATTATACAAGTAACAAAATATTCTTTAAATTAGTAATGAAATAGAGATGGTACTGTTTGAAGGACTTCATTTTCCAGATTGTAGAAGTATTAATGTGATAGACACTGAAATTTTTAATATATAAATTAAAAGAAAGTAAAACAAAACCCGTTAACATCATATTGAAGAGAAGAGGAAGGTGTCCAAACTGATTGCCTTTTAAGTAACACTGATTTCTAACCTGACTGCAGCCCAGAAAGGACCAGACGGGGTCATCATTCCCAATAACTACTGTGACTTCTGCCTCGGAGGCTCCAGTATGAACAAAAAAAGCGGCCGGCCCGAGGAACTTGTATCATGCTCAGACTGTGGGCGCTCTGGTAGGTGACTCCTTCTTGCAACTTTGTCGTACGAAAGCATTTGTGTGATTCATTTTTTTTTTTTTTTGCTGCTTCTGGAGATTTTGAAGAAAGGCAGCACGTCTGGGAGGGAATGGGAAACGAGGTCTTACCTCTTGTCTGTGTTTGTGGGAAAGCAAACCTGATTGAGAAATTTTGTGTCATAAAACCCATTGTTGGATTCACGTTTTTAAGCTAATGGGGTCTTACGAAATAATAAAGATTTAATATATTTATTGGCTGCTGTGAACATTGTTCCATGTACTAGTTGTTCTTTAAATGGAAGGAGAAAATCCTATGACAATGTTAAAGAATGGGCTCTGTCTTTAAATGCTGCAATTACAACTATAAATTACTTACAAGATTTATAAAAGTTGCATGACGAGCATTTCCATTGATTACACATTTCATGCATTTCTTCATCCAAAAAAGAAGGAGGGAGGAAATTACAGGGTAGGAACGGGGGTAGCTGTCAAGAATTATCCTCTTACACGATGACTATCATTAATTTTGTTTTAAGAGGTTTTTATTTCTCTGTTTTCTTCCCTTCTCTCTTTTCAAATGTAGGCAATTGTGTCTTTCTCATCCTGAGTTGTCTTTATTTCTGGGCTGTTGTTTTCTATGGTTCTATCTTTCTTTTTTTGAGGGGGAAATATTATCCCAGCTGAGCTGTTATTTATAGCTGGGGCTGGAGGTGGTGGTGCTAGAAGGAATTGGAGACCTTGAACAACTACATATTCCCACTTCAGTCCAAGTTTCCAGTGGTGATATGTCTGGATAGTGATGATAGTAGTGGTGATGAGACCATTAACAGTAAATCTAAAGAAACAGAGGGACCTTGGAGCTCACTGTTGCTGCTGCTTCTGTTCTGTAGCCACTGAAAGATGTTTGTTGTGTGATGGCTGAAGTGCAACGTGGAGTGTTGTTGTGCTGCAGGAATGGCCTTCTCGTACTCCCACTGAGAGTCCCAGTAACTCTCTCACCAAGCTCAGTGGGAGCAGGAGCACCCCAGCCCTGGCAAACTGCCTTGTCGTGACCTCTGAAGACGTGCTGAAGTGACAGAGTGGCCAGCACAGGACCAATGGCAACCCCGTGGGTTCGCTCATGAGTGCTGTGCAGTCACCAGCACGGATCTTTTAGTGCATATGTGTTAGCTCCTTAATAAGAGGGGAAGCTCATGTGATGCGTGGTGCCATCTTGCAAAATGGGTCCCCTCTCCCTTGATTGTCACAGTTCAATATAACTCATTTCAGCATCGTCCTGATGTTGAACGGTGAGACAGAGCTGTGGTTTTTTGCCCTTTAAATCCCTTTGACAGTGATTGTATCAGAGCACAACACTAACACGTTAATTCCCACGCTTCCTTAGTGTGCTAGAGTAAGTAATTCTGCATGTAACCTAAATTGTGCAAAATCAGTTCCATTAAATGGTATCCTGGTACAGATTCTGACCCACCTGGGTCATTCATAAGGGGCTGCAGTGGTGTGACAAATGAGTGATGACAGTGATTAAGGTGCAACCACACACACTAATCTGTAAAGTAAAACAAGGAGAACTGTTTGGTGGCTGCCATCCTCCTCTTTCTTGATAATGGAGAACGTTTTCATTATCTGAAAGAGTGGCCTTGGAAACTGGAAGGTTTCTTCCCTTCACAAAGTCTGTAAAATCACATCTCTATGAAGTGGTTCATTGAGCAATTATTTTGTTATATCCGTTTGCTTTTTGTGATCAGGATTTAATTCTTTGTTTCTTAAGCAATGCAGTGTATTTGTTATTCGGCTGATTCTTGTAGCTGGAGGGGGACCAAACACTTGATTATTTAATATCATGTTAGTGTTTCTGAATAATAAAGTAGCAGTCCCTACAAACTGATGCTTTCATTTTGCTGGGACACAAGAGACATGTGGTACTCTGCCTTTCTTGAAGAGAGAATTTAAGGGGTGTACTATTAATCACCTAACACATGTGACTGAAGAGAGAAAATAAACTTCAGTTTCACTGATTTGGATATTTTATTTTAAGAGTCTTCCTTTTGTTAATGTTATTGTTGTCATTGTTGCTGCTCTTGATGTTGTGTGTGGAGATTTTCCTGTTCCATGTTGGAAGTTGGACTGACTCACACTTTGGAACTTCTCAGTGCCCCCCAAGACAGGTCATTCCTCATCTTAGCTGTTTTAGTAGTTGAACTGTATGTACTTGGCTTGGGGGGGGCGGGTGTTTTGAAGGAGATGCCATGAAATTGGAATAGAAGTGTTTATTTAGTTTATTTTCACAGACATGCTTTATTTTGCCTTCAGAGGAGGAGCCTCTTTAGCATCAGGTGCAGGGCAGGGATAAAATGTAATCGTGAGGTTGGTAAGACGTCTAATGGGTTATATTTCCGTAGTAGGAAATTTGTGACCGTTGATGCCAGTCTGAAGGACAGTCATTGTGCTTAGAGTTAATGGCGTCTAATTATTTATATGGTCTAAAAATCTTTTTAAATTGATGTAAGTAACCACAAGAAAATACTTAAATGTCTTTTGAAGAGAGGAAAACGTCATTAATCCTTTCGCTGCCGTACCTGTGGGCACCCGTGTTGGTAGCTTTTTTTTTCCTTTTAGGAAGAACCTGCTCCTTTTTTATGTTTCTAACTGCAGTTCTACCAAGCAATGTTGTTGAGGTGCGCGGGCACATACAAGCACACACCTGTGAGCTCGATAGCCTGAATTGTTTGCTAATGATGATGATTGCAAAAAAAAAAAAAAATGATGATAATGATGCCTGTTGCTTAACCCATGTGCTGATATATTCATCATACATGTCAGCTCATTTGGGAAGAGAAGGCAGGAGGGACGAAGCAGCGCCAGCTCGCACCACGGAGGACTTGTTCGGTTCCACGTCCGAAAGCGACACCTCGACCTTTCACGGCTTTGACGAGGACGATGCGGAAGAGCCTCTCTCAAGCCGAGGAGGTGGCTGTGGTGGCAGCTCGCCCTCTGCAGAAAAAAAGGGCGGCTGCTAAAATAACTAAAAAGACACAAACTCTGAGCGATTCGCTGTCCTTTCTACCACTAGGATTGTTATGACTTTTTTTTTTCTTTAATTTTAGGTCCTTGGGTTTTTGTTTTTTGTTGTTGTTTTTTGTTGGGTTTTTTTTTTTCCTGTGGGGTCTACACTGAAAGCACAAGTGTTTAAAGCTCTTGACAACTACTTTGAAGAGACAGAAGGTTTTGATTTTCCTGATTTTTTTGTTTGTTTATTTCTTTTAATTTGTTTTTCTTCCACCTCTCCCCTTCTCTTTCTCCTGGGAAACCTGAAATGTGGATTTAATATTTTTTTTAAATAGTGAGCAGAGTTGATTTTCTTGTCTTTTAATATATATATCAGCAAACCATGAAAAATACAGATGGGTTGGAGAGCAGAAAGAAAACCCAAATAGTTTTTTTTTTAATTATTATTATTTATATATTCTATATATTATTAGGAAAAAAGATACTTTTTAAATAAAATGCAAACAGCAAAAAAAAAGTAATGGATGTCTACTTGATGCTAGAACTGTTTCTAGGGAACCACTGTGGGCGGACTTTATCAGAGGACAAGGAAACCCTTGGTGTGATGGCTTCTGCATTTTGAGATTTTGCACTTACCGTAGCATGTGGAGTCCGGCTCCTCTACGTTTGTCTTTAACAGCTTGAAAACACAAATGGCTCCATGGAAGACATGACCTTGGGGAATACGTCCCCATACCTCCTTTGGAAACCTTTACACGATAGATTTCTTCCTCCCTGCACCTCTTCATCTCCTCCTCACTCCGTTCTGCTTTTTTGTCCTTTTTCTTCACTTTCCACCTCATGAAGAGCAATTTCCAAGCATAGGGATGGAAAAGGAGTGGCGAGCCATAGACTTCAAAGACAAAACATATGGAGGAGCAGAATCATGGAAGAAAAAACATGGAAAAATACCTCACCTATATTTTCCTTTCCATTTTTAAATTTTAATTCAGATGATTTTTTTTCTGTGTCGCCCAGTTTTTTCTCTCTGTAGTGTCTTGTGAGACACTTTGTTTGCTTTTCGATAGCTTCTCTTGAAATAAACCAAAGCAATACTCAGTAAAAGTTCCAAGGGCAATGGAGAAGAGTGACTCCTTCCCAGCGACTGTCCCGGGAAAGAGGAAAGGCGCAGCAGGACTTCAAAGGTATGTCCCGGCTGAAATGTCTTCCACTCCTTGTGAAATCCCTGTGCCCTGGATTTGCAACAGACCCTTGCCTGAGATTAGCTGTAGGAGTAAAGCCTGGGGATTAGACTGTGGTGTGAATATGTGCCACGTTGGAACCTCTCACGAAGCTACTGGAAGTTGTGTGGGAACAGGATCTGGCCTAGGGTGTAGAGTCAGGAGCAAGGGCTAGGGAAGAATTCAGCGTGTAGGTTCCACTTTACTGTCCTGATGCAAGCAAAAATTTCCCAAGGGATGGCAAGGTTAGATTTTAAAGATGTATTTATACAGATGTGTATAATGCAAACAAATGGTCACATCATGACTCTATTTAAATTGTAGGATAAATTCTCATTTGGGCAGTATCTAATGCTGAAGCTGGAGGTGTGTGTTCATGAAGCCAGAAATTAGAACCAAAATCCCAACCTAGCAATGAAAAAAATGGGTATAGGTTGTTTTCCTGCATGAAACCCTATCCAAATGGATTCCATTTCTTCTGTTTCTCTTCCTGGGATAGCACAATACTATCTGTGAGGACTCTTTCACCATTTTTTTTTCTAAAAAGCTTAAAGGAAAAGAAGAAGAAATGATCCAGTTGTGATGCTTCTCTGTAACTTGTTAGTGTTGACTTTAGACATGGATTAAGCACTGGACAGATTGTGCTTTTTGGTACATGGATGTAAATCCAGAATGATGCTATTGATACTTAGACTACATTAATCATGTGTTTTTGAAATTGTAGGAAATCGTTTTACAAAATGTCATTAAATACCCCGGTGTATTTATA